ACTTAAAGTAAATAAATTGGAAAGATTTTTTATAGTTTTCTAATTGTTTTCTTTATTTTTCCTTATTTTCTTTAGAAATATATTAAATAAATAAATTAAAGATAGTTTTTTGTAATTTTTAACTATTTGCTTTATTTTTTTATCTTTAAAAATCAAATGCATCTTTAATGAATAAAATATAATATAATATATATTATTTTTGAGTAATTTATTATATAATAATAAAATAAAATTATGAATAATAAATAAACAAAAAATGAATTATATTAGTTTTTATTTTATAAAAAGTTGTTTAATTAAATTTTTTGCTGATTTTTAACTGATTTTAAGCAGATTTATGTTGAATTTAACCAATTTTTTTATTAATACTCATTGATAGCTGATTTTCTATTTATTCAAAATGCTGATTTTTTGTAATAATCAGCAAAATTAGACTATATTTTAGCTAACTTTTAACACTTTAAAACTGTATTATTTACCTAGTAATATATCAAACAATTACTAATTATTAAATAATGATTTTTTATTGAGTAACTGTTATATTAAGCAACTTCAGTTATAACAAAAATACTAATTTCTTTTGCAATGATTAGCAGAAATTAGACTATATTTCAGCTAATATGCAGTAATTAAACAAAGTAACAAGATAGATTATTTCGACTAGTAAAATCAACATTTTTTATATATATAAATTAATTCTATAGATCAATTATATATAAATTACTTTATAGATCTATTTATAAATAGCTAAAACTTTACTAAAATCCAATTTATCCTAAATAAATAGAAAGCTTTATTATTTAACATACTTTAAGTTTTGAAGATCTTTTAATTAATGTTATAGTATATAAAATAAACTTTATTTAATTAAATTTTAAAGGCTATTATTAGCTTTTATTAATAAATTAAGCTATTAAAACTAATAAAATTACTTAAAAATATTGATTTAAAAATCAAAAATTATTTTAGAAATAATCAATATATGAAGTAATTAGTAAAAAAAGAAAATCCAAAATTATTGCTAATTTTAATTATTAAGCTAATTTTGTGCATATAATTAAAATCAGCTAAATAGTCTAATAATATAAATTTTGATCAAAGTTGAAATTTCTCTTTTTTACTAACTGTCTTTCATATAAATTTAGAAATAATTAATAATTGATTAACATTAAATTTTATAAGTAATATAATAACAATATTTTATAAGTCACTATTTATTAGCAAAGTTTTAGATATTATATAATTACATAAAATTTATAAAATTTAAAAATGTAAATTTTATAAAAATTATTATTATAATAAAAGTTACAGTATGATAGTTATAAGATAAAATTATAATATCATTTTATTGTTTAAAAATTAAGTTATTAAAATCAAATTATAAGATGCTTCAACTAAAAATAAATTTATAATTCAAATTATTATATAATATATAAATTTTAATTTGTTAATTTTTTATAATTAATTATCTTTTTACAATTAATATGATAAAAATCCTACAAATTTTATAACATAAAATATAAAATTAGATAATCAACATAAATTTTGGTAATAATTAATAAATAATAGACATATAAATATAGTAAAGTTTTTTATGATATAATAAAATTAGTATATCAATAAACAATATCTTAAGTGTTAAAAAATTATATAATAAATTTAGAAATTATATATCTTAGAATGAATTAAATAGAATATTTTTCAAATTTTTCATTTTTATATTAAAATTTATAAATTTAATAAATAAATTTTAATATTGCTTTAATTCTCAAAAATATCTATTACATATATATTTGTGATTAAATAAATCTAATAAGCTAATATGCATTAATTTAGATCTATTAATTCTAAAATAATCATGATTAAATTTTAAAATCTAAGTTTTACTTTTATTGAATAATAATTTTAGCTGTAATTTCAATTACAAATATTTCAAGTTTAGGTAATTAACCATTAATAATATTTAGCTTATTATATTAGTCTAATTATAAGAATTTAAATAGTAATTAATCAATAAAAATTAAAGTAATATTAATTAAAATTATGCATTTTTATTTTTAAATTTTTTATATATTTAAAAATTATTTATAATGATAACCTTCAAATAATTTACACTTTCAATTTTGACTTTTGATCTAAAATCAAAATATTTTGACTATTTTAACTATTTTAGATATCTAAATAGAATGATTTAGTTTTATATAATATTGTAATATTATAGTCTTATTAGGCAATTTTATATACAGTATTAGACTTACTTAAATTTATCAAATAATTAGAATTAAATTCTTAAGAAGATTTTAACATTTCTACTAGTTACCAAATATTTAAATTACATATACTGTTATACTAAAAGATTTATTAAACTATAGTTATTACATGCAGGATTATATTTATTATAATTAGATAATATTACACATAATTCAAGACATTTATTGGTTATAAATAATAGAAAGGATATATAAGATTTATTATTTAATATTTATTAACAAATAAATCTAATATAAATCTATATAAATAAGATATTATTTCAACCATTAATATTTCATATGATCAGATATGTAATTTATTATATACTTTTATTATTTTTACAAATAAAAGGAAAAGAAAATGTAAGTTATGCTTGTTTAAACTCATTTTGGATTTGGTTAAATATCTAAACCTTTAGTTTTGCTAAATTTTTACTAAGTATTTGATATAATTTTACCTTTTTTGAATTTTGCAGATTTTTAAATAAGATTTTAATATAATTAACTAAGTTTTTACCTTTACAATTTAGATATTTAGCTAAATCCTAAATTTTATCTAGTAATCTTAGTTATAATTAAAGATATTATTACAACTAGGTCTTATTAATCATAACCCGTGATCTGTAACTCTATATTTTTATATAGGTCATAATTGCAACTATTTTTGAAAATAGGTTGAGGAGTTATCTTTAGCTATATTAATATACTAATGTTATCTGTTGATATTATTGAGAAAACATATTATTTTATTCAAGTAAATTTCATATTTTTTATAATTAAAACTCAGTAAAAACCAATTGTTTAAAAGCTTTTTTATTATCAAAATGTAATAATCAAATAATATATTAGTTAAAAGATAAATTTGTCAGAAAATAATTTGACCAGAAGATGATTTGCCTATAATCTATAATAATTTTAACTAAATATTAATAAAACTTAAAATTAAACTAAATAAAATTGGAATATATTTTGAAATTAATAGAATATAATATAATAATTGCATTTATAATTTAATTAAATATTATATATAATAGTAGTTTAGAATTTTTTTATATTTATATAGTATATTATTAAACTAGTGATTAAAAATAATTTTATCTATAAAGTGATAATCTAATTATATTATAAATCATTTTAAAAATTAAACCTAACCTTAAATCTAATAATATGCTTATTTAAATAATAAATGGCTAGCTAATAATGCTATTGAACCTATTTTAACATATAGCTTAAAGATTTAGAAACATTTGGGAGCTTGTCAATAGAAAAGGAGGAAATCTAAAAAAAAATAAAATTTCACTTCATATGCTAAATATGATTTTTTTAGTAAAATAAGTCCAGATTTAACATTAACTCTAAAACTTTTTTTTTTTAGATTTCCTCCTTTCTATTGACAAGCTCCCATTTATGAAAACTTTAAAATAACTTTTTTTTAAATCTAAAATTTGATTAAACTTAATTGTATTTAGAAAAATCTATTAAAAGTTTAGGTAAAAATATAAAAATATTTATTATAAATAAATAGTTTAATTTCAAATATCTCAAAACTCAAATTTTCTAAAAATAGTTAGGAAGATGTCTTTAGTTATAATTTATAAATCTTATCTACTATGTTTTATTTAATAAATTACTTACTTGTATAATAATTTCTGATTTTATTTATATTACATATTTTAATATTTATAGTTAAATCTAGTTTAATTAATAGCTGAAACTATTAAACTAGTTTTATTTAACTGAAACTAATTTTAATAGTTTAAATAGCAACCTTAGTTGTATTGATATTAAAATATAGTATTTAATTAAGTTTTTTATTATTATTAAAAAGAATAGACTTCTTCAAATTAACTTTGAAATTTAAATCATAAACTGTTTAAAATTCACATTATGCATAACATCTAAATTTATCAAAAATATCATTCAGTCTAAAATTTTCAAAATAAAATTTTTAAGTAACATATTACATGAAATGTAACTGATTTTATTAAATAAAATTGATTTTAATAGCTTATTATATCAAAAAAAAAAAAAATTTATTTAACTCTTAAAACATCTACTAGAATTCATCTGTGAGATTTATACATTTTACCACATTTTTTTACCAATATCTTTTTTTGTAAAAATTCATGTAATTCTAGCATTTACTTAAAAATTTCTAATAGATATATACTAAATCAAGACTTTCGAAAATAATAGTCTTGAATAGCGCAATTAATTTATCATTCTGTAAACATCTTATAACTTATTTTAAATAAAAAATTAAGTAAACGTGGACATAACTCGTTCTTTTAATGAGCACAAGACAATCATTGCATGCATACTCTCTAATAAAAGAAACTTTACAGAAAGTGACACGCGAAATAATCGCAAAAAGTTAGAAGTTTTATACGGAAAAAAGAAAAATCAAAAGTGCGTCAATTTTTGTGGCATTTGATTAAATAATTCGCCAATCATTTACTTTTATATTATGGGTGTGAGTTTAGGTGGTGTTTTAAAGAAAACTTTAAAAATTGGATAAGTGGCAACCTTTCTATTGATATTTTTATTAATAACACCTTTAAAACGCTATAGGAGAATAAATAATTACACAACTATTAGATATAATTAACATTGTTATTTGATTATGTAAATAACAAAAGGCAATATTGATAACCGCTAAAAAAAAATTGAACATAAAAATATAAATATCTCCTTATTGAAAAAAACTAATCATTACATACTCTCTTAAGTCATGAACCCCAATCAACTTCAATGCAAATTTCATGCAATTCAAACCATGTAACTACTAATAATCGAACCATCATTCAAAATGCACTTGAGGTTTTATCTTCTGATAGTAGCATGCAAACTAAGTCATATTACGAGAATGCATCTCAAATGACAATTGTGAATCTCTTTTGTATCAACAAGATATTAATGCGAAAACCGCGGAAATGATAATTCCAATTAATTCCTCACAATTTAATTCAAATTGTCAGGCACCATTCCTCTTTTTGCCTGACTATTTAATTAATTCTCAAGAAGATATTTATCAGGATCATTTTAATTATGCAAATACATTTTCTTTCGAGTCAGTTAATGGCTTTCCGATTGACGAAGTATCGTGTTCAAGGTAATTATCAACTTGAATAGATTAAATCACACGTACTATACAAAATTGAATATTAATAAATTATATACATTTAATCTTCAAAACTCCTTAGCCTCAATTATGGAAGAATTAAAAGCCACCATCAAATATAACGAGAAAAAAGCTCGATTTAAATGGACAGAGAAAGACATCAGACATCAACTTATTACTTTTATTTTTGAAAGCACATAAGAAAGAGTTAAAACAACTAGTAGAAAAGCGTGGTGGTAGCGGTAACATTAAAAAAGAGCTTTGGAAGTGTGCCTCAATTATAGTTTCCGACAATGAAAACATATTTCTTCCCGAGCAGTGTGAATTCAAGAAGAAGAATATTAAGCAAGCTTGCAAGGTAAATTTTTTCTTGAAGTATTTTGAGTTTAAAATTACACGTTGATACCTATTCTTTATAATTCCAGAATAATCCTAAGTATCGTTATAAAAAGTAGTTGAAGTATTAAGAAAAATATCGATAAAAAATAATGTGTGAAATATTTTTTGTATTAGTTAGGAGTAAGTATTTTGCTAATAATTTATAAATATAAACTCAAATTATTTTTTAAGAGCTTTTTTTTATTAAAAAATAGTTTAGTAATTTCTTTTAGTTAAAATATTAAAAATCATTATTATTTACGTTTAGTTTAAATATATTGTTTTAAAGTAAACTGTTCAACCACAGTTACATCTTTTAAAATTGCAATCAAAAGCTCTATTTATTATTGCTGTATAAGAGGTGAAAGTTTTACCAGTATGTTTTTCACTTAGAAATAAAAAATTTATTTTGCGTTGATTTGCTATTCGAAAATTATATATAATTATAAAAGGTATTTATAAAATTAAATAATTTCCGTCCGTGCATACATGCGAGAACTGCTTGACCTAACAATGTTATTATGCGCGGTCATAAACAACAAAATTTTTATTCACGTACCCGAACGAGCAGTCCTTTAAAGTTAATCTAAAATGATATTTTCAATATTCTTCTATAGCTGTAAAGTTGTAATTAATAAAGGAACTCCACTTTAAACATACTTAATAATTTTCAATCACATCCTGATTTAAAAAACAGAATATTTATGATTTATTATTATTTTTTTTGTGGTTCAAAATATTCATTTTATAAAATTTTAACGAGTATCTTTAAGATATCTAATACAGTACCATTTTAATTTTTGAATCCTTATTTTGATTTTTTATTCGGCCCAAATTTCCATGATAAGTAGAAAAGACTATATATAAGGCGCGGTAAAATAAAATTGCTGTTTCGGGAAATTTAAAAACAAAAGAAATGCTTTAAAAAATAATGGAATTTATTGTTTTCGTTCAAACAAATCATTTCAAGAATCATTTCAAGTTTTTATATGTACTGTATATGTTTCTTTCATTTATCAGAAACCATCGCCGAGGGAATCTCTGTAAGAAATTTTTTACCTTTGACATAAATTTATCCATTAAAGCACATACTATATACTGTATATAAAATTTTACTTGTTGAAAATATTAAACTATTCAAAGAATTCCAAAAATTCAGCACTAAATAAAGTATAAATTTTGTACAAATAAAGATTTTATTTGCTCAAAGGATATTACGGAAGAAAGGCAAAAATGTTGGTCCTGCACATCATAGAGGTGGCGAAACATTTCGCTTATTTAGCAATGCCACGTAATCAATTGTTTATTTTCCTTGGGAGGCGTAAAATTTTTATATTCTTTTTCAATCCTAAAAATTATCACAAATCGCACTTCGAAGATACCTAATCTGGTTTTATTTATGTCTGAAATTTAACTGTATTTACAACCTTACATTGATTCGGATATTTCGGATGTTTTCCGGAGTCGTTTTTTCGGTAATAATATTGAAAGAAAAATTATGGACCAAACAAAGAAAACAAAGAAATCAAAAATATCCGGTGATTTTTGAAAAAAATGAATTTATATAAAAACGGACAATGAATTTATGTGCCATTACGTCGTATTTCGCTAAGTATGTAAAACAAAGTCGTTTAAGATTTTATTTCTCAAAACTTCACATGATATATATGAAAAAAGAAATAATGAAATTTTTTTTTACTGCGTTTTGAATATTTTTTTTTTTTATTTACAAAAAAATTATTATAATAATCATTTTTATTTTATTTTATTTTATTTTTTGAAAAGATTATTTATGCTTCTTGTCTGAATTATGAAAAAGAATTTTGAGTTAATAGTAATCAAATTAAGGATTTTTTCTTACCTGGAGAAGTTTGCGGATTCTATTATTTATATCACATACTGTATATAGGAAAAAAAAAAAAAAAAAAAAGAAAGATAACCATCTTGAAAAACCAGCGCAAAATTGTCCAAAAAAGCTATTTTTTTTTCAATTTACAAATAATATTTAAAGTTTGACATGAAAAGAAACAATTTTGTAATTTATACAAAGGTGATGCGGAGTTAACACGAGTTTACAAATAAAAATCGCGTTGTTTAAAAAAAAATTCTAATATGTACAGAGAAAAAAAGAAGGGTTATAAATATTGTGTGTGCGTGAAGTGTACAAATTGTTGTGTGATGGATTATTGTGTATGGATTATGGTAATAGTATTGTTGTTTTGTGAGAAAGGTTGATTGTTCACTTTTTCGTCGCCAAGAATCGATAACCGACACTATATGGTTTGTATTCGTTTAATTCTTGATACCAAGCCTCGACCAATTTATCATATTCATCATTTTCGAGTTCAAGTATTGATGAGAATCTTGCTCTAAATGTTCGGAATAATATACCTATAAATGTTTAATTTTCCATTTAGAAAAAGAGTATGACAGCAATTGAAAAATTCTTAAAAAGAAAAAAAAAACTGGATTCCCTACCTGTATTATTTGCCAACAAGGTTCCTACTCTGCCAGCCCATTTTCCAAATTGGGCCGTGATTTCTTCCTTTTTGATGTCAGTGAGACATTCTGTGGCACCCAACAAATCTGTCATGTGTGAATATGCTGTGACATCAATTTGTCTCGACTTTAAATCCGAGAAAACTAAAAAGAAAAAAGAACATTTCAATTAATTTTTTTTTTTTCAAAAAAAAAAAGTAAAAATAAAAATAAAAAAAAAGTAAAAATGAAAAATTCTTTTTTTTTAAAAAAAAAAAAAAAGTCAATGATAATTACATGCGCTGAATAATAATCTTGATATAGGTCCATCATTCCTTGGTTCTATTTCATCCTCGACAATTTCGATAATGCCACCAACTTTAGTCACCCTGACAAGTTCATTTATTGCGGTCTCCCATTCACTCTTGCTGAACGCAGCGATCAAAAATCTCATGTGTATGTAATCAAAGGAATCATTTTCAAATGGCAGTCCGTCCAGCAGATTCGCTTCCAAAAAATTGGCATTATCTGGTTTCGCTTCCCTGGGAAAAACTGGCGAAATATCTATCCCTGTAAAATGTGATCTTGGGAACTCGTTTGCCATCTCGATCAACCATGTTCCTGGTCCGCAGCTGGCATGGTGATGCAAACAAAGACAAGGTTAATATTATGAAACAGTTTTTTTTTTTGTTTAATTAAAATACAAAGTTTCAAATATTATGTTTTAATTAATTAAATATACATACCCAACATCCAAGACATGAGCACCTCCCGCACCTAGCCTTTCCTTTACAGGCGCGGAATAATTTCGTTGCCATATGTGTCGACATATATAGTGCTGAACGTGTAATCGGTCCAGTTCATCGTCATCACAGGGGAGCAAATATTTCGAGGTTTCCACGTTATGAAACCTTCTACCACCAATAAATCGGTATTCATCATTACTTCCATAGTCGAGAACGTCGCTATTGATCAAGTGGGTGTCGGATAACGGAGATCCCACGGAAGAAGGTTGCAATCGACGTCGTCGAGATTTATGTTTCCGTAATTTTGACTTTGGTTTACAAAAACAATTCCCCATATCAACAAATTTTTTATTTGTGAATACCACGTAAAAAAAATTTTCAATCTATCTATATAATTACAGTGCTTTATTTAAAAAAGGGTTTCTTTTTAATTTGCGTTTTTCCCGAAAAATTCAAGCTGTCGTTTATTCATCTCAGCCCAGGCAAGATGATAAAAAGAAAATTTAAAAATGGGTGTGGATCCTGTCCTTGAATTTAACAACTTTTTATTTATTTTTTTTTTTATTTTATTTTTTTGAGGATGATTTTGAAATGAGAATTTTTTTTTTAAAAAAACACGACTAAATCGGGAATAAATGTTCACTTATAAACCTATGTCCTTGTTCTTTGTCTTTCTTTATAATGCAAAAAAAAAAGTTATTTTTAGATTGAGTGAAAAAAAAGGCTGAGTAATTTAATTATTCTTTTTTTTTTTTTTCTCATCAAACGTTAACCTTAAAGAAAAAAAAAGCAATTCCTTTTTGGTTGAACGCCAGGAAAAAAAAAAAAAATAAATACTATAGGGTTATAAAAATAATGCAAGTATTTTTCTTTTTTTTAAAAAAAAAAAAATTAGTGGATTTTTCAAACCAAATATTTATACAATTACGTTAGATGTAGATCGTTGTTATAAAATTGACCTTAAATAGTATTTTGAACCGATAATAAAATTTAATTTATTATTTTATGTATTATTTATTTTTATTGTTCCTTCAACTTTGTTTGAATGTATAAAGTTTATTTGAAAAAAAAAAAGATATATATATTATGCATCATGCAATGATACAGGGTTGATTGTTACGGATGTGGATAAAATGGATATAAATCAATGTCTATCACAATTAAATCATCCTGACCCTTATCAATATAAAAAAATGGCGGGAACCAAAAATATAATATAAACGATTATTACAAACCAAACAACTTTAAAGTTATATAAACAAACATTATGAAAATGAACATTTTTCCTCTTGTACGATCTGGTGATGTCTTTTCCTTTTTTTTTATTATTAATAATAAATGGCTGAGAAAGATTTGTTGCATTAAATATCAAACGAAAGAATTACAAATGACAGATATCCCAATCTAAACGTATACAAGTGCCACATGGGGCATTAATTTTCCTATTTAATTCAATGACAGGATATACCCGATATTTTTTTTATACAACAGATACTAGGGATATAGTAAGATTTACAAGGCACATATTTCATTACAAATTACAATGATTTCCTTTTCACATTTATTCATTTGTCAATATCCGAATGAAATAAATGAAATCATTATTTATTTCTTTGATAAAGTAACAATGATATATATAATAGATAACTATCCGGTTGGGTTCAAGCAATTAAACTCCGATTACGGGACGCATCTTGTGTTATTAAAATAATTTTGGGTTACTCGTATCGAAAATCTTCCCACTGTAGGTGCTGTCATGCATGCATAAAATTGTTTCCCAATTTCATGCGCCAAAGGTATGTGGTATCATTTAAACGAAAAAATAATTTTTTTTTTATACAAAAGTACTTCCTGTAACCAGTTAAATTAAAAAAAAAAGGACCTAAGAAAAAAAAATTTTAGTGTGGGGAAAAATAGTTGGAAAGTTACCTCTTGGCAATTTATCTGATTTTAATTTTTTTTGTACGTCCATCATTAACGTGTTACCAAACAAACAAAAAAATCACGAACAAGCTCGCCGATCGTCTATTCGTTTAAGCATATAGGGAGACAAAAAAAAATAATAATTTGAAATAAACAAATCTTTACACACTAAGTCGCATCACCTGAATGAACACTTGTCTTTATTAATTTTTAAGCAGTATATTATGATTTAAATTGATTGGTTTGAACTTTTCTTTCCGTTTCTTTCTTTTTTTTTCAAAAAGGAATCTGGTGAAATTTAAAATTAAGAAAATCCTTTTTGAGAAAAAAAAATTTTATGAACGCTTATAAAAAACAGGATTCGTGAAATCTTTCATAATGTGTTAATGAAAAAAATTTTTTTTTTCATGGGAACTTTTTAATGCATGTATCACAGTTTTTTGAGAAATTTGTTTCTTTCTTAAAAGGTCATGTCAAAAAAAAAAAAATAATCTCATATTTACGCGTGGCTAACTTTATCAGTGTAACCTTTACCTGACCTTCCCTTTGCATGGATGCACACGATACACACGCTACCAAATTTAATTTAGCATATTTGTAGATTACAGAATAAGCCCATTCTAACTTAGCTTGTCGACAATATGATATTGATATTTTGATAAGAATTTCTTTCATCATTTAATCCTAATATTGAAATTGTTTTTGTTCATCCTGTCCTTTGTCTTCAAAAAGAAAGAATGGATTGAATCAGAAATCTACCATCACAAAGGATACAAGCCAAATTCTTTTGTGCAACCATATTCGGTAATCCAATCCAATTTGTAATTATTTTTCAGGGAAAAAAAATAACGATTTTGGATTGCGTCTTTGTTTATCGGATGGGATCATACAAAAAAATTAATCATGAAACATGATATTCTAAATGTTCTATAATTTTGGTTCATAACAAGTAGATTGAGCTTTTAAAGCAATTATGATTTAATGATTCTTCTTTTTTAGGAACAATAATATGATGAATTTCCATCAATTAAATAAAATTAATTGCTTATGCAAAAATTATTTTATTGTCTTAAATGGATTTGATGGGTCTGTTTCCTACAAATATAATTGTCACACCTTGAGATATCAGATAAAGGTAGGTTTATCATCGCACCGATATAAAATTATAATCAGTGATTTAAAGTAGTCTCAAAATGTGGTTCGAATCATCATCATCCCTTTTTAAAAACACATCATTGGCAGATTTAGTATGATGTACGTAACTGGCTTTACATTCCAGGGATTTATGGTTTTATTTGTTTGTAATTTTTAATTCCATGTTATATTAAACAATTTTGCTTAATCTCTAAAAGGAAGCTTGCCCGAAATACGTTGTAGATAGCGAGGCACAGTAAGTTTCATTAAAAAAAACGAATATTCGTTAAAAATTGAAATCTGAAGCTTTCTTTGCATGTCTAGTTTAACCAAAGTACCCAAATTACACTTCATATGCTTAAAAATAAATAATACGTTCTAACAAGATTTCTTTTATAATCGCTTTGGAAAATTCCAAATTTGCAAAGTCGTCGAAGGCGGACGATCTGGATTATCTTAAAGACATGATCAATTTCATTGGTAAAGAGCTCCTTCACTTCTGAACATTTTGCCAAAATGGAAAGAAAGCCAAAAAATTATATACATATTCCTTTACTTTCATCGTCAGTCATGATCCTTTATTAGTTTAAGAAGTCTTTTCAATTACTTGCTTTTCTTCAATAATTTCAAGTTCATCATCAACTCTTTATAGGTAAAATTATCTTCAACTTGCCCTTGTTTATCCTCATTCATTTATAAATTATTATATAATTATTAGATGCAGTAACTCGGAAAATCGTATTTTATTAAATATTTATTCTTTATGAAAAGAATTGGCTTAGGTTTGAATTATTATTTTTTTTTAAAAAAAAAAAAAAAAAAATAGGGACATTACCGCTGCTCCTTGCTTTAAATTATCGGTACGACGTGCTTCTTCATGAGCCTGAAAATCTAAAATAATAATATAAAATAAACAGGAATGATACTCACATGAAAACATTTAAATGGTTACTTTAACCGTTAAACCGATGCAAAGAAAAAAAATTTTTGTTTGGCATCAAACTAATTATGGAATTAAATTTTTCGCTGCGGCACATGACGCAAGATTTTCTTGAAACGTTTTCTCCAATTTTTATGAAATCCTTTTTAGGAATAAAACAATTCAAGATCTTATTGAATTTTTAACTAGGCAATATAGCAATGCATAATATAAAGATTTTCTTGTTTAAACCCATAAACCTCATATTTCCATTATGAGTTACACAGTTGTTATTGTAGTTGTCAAAATTTTTAAATATGCAATTCACGCGGTTTATTATAGTATTATTGGCAACAGCATTTATTTCAAATTAAATTTCATTTTCATTACTCATTTCGTTACCGTTAACATCATGCGTATTTTCTTGGTATGCATGAGCCCATATTTTGAATCCGCCGTTATATTAAAACCAGCCGGGTGGATTTACAACATAATTTGCCGGCCGGGCCGGTACAGACTTAATCTACACATTCCGATAATAAATTTATTCTTGGGATAATTTGCTTTCCAGCACAATTGATGGGACGCTCCAAGTCGATCAATTCTTTTTCTGGTACTTTTCGTTTTAAATAAGAGAAGCCGTAATTTGTGAAATAGTAAGATGTTAAGAATTTAGCTTTCGGCGATTACACGAGTGACCTGAAATTTTGAATGAAATTATAATTTTGCATGTACAGAACAGTACTAATGCAACGATCTGCAAAAAATAATAATAATAATTCTTCCTTTTTTAACCAAAAAAAAAAATATCGTTTTTTCATTTTATTAAGTTTAAATCGAGTAGCAATAGGAAATGATCATTAGTGGTTTATTAGTATTCCAATAAAAGTAACTTCCTTCTATGAATAATGCTCGATTCAAAGTTATTGATTACATTTAATGATTGTTCTCCGTAACGTTACGTTATATAGTAATAAAGAAATAAAAAATAAAGTTTTTAAATATTAATAATTGTCATGTCCGATTAAAGAAGTTTCTTTAAACATTATGTCGAACCATATTTAAAAAAACTTGAACGTTAACCAGAAAGAATGAAATATTTTGAGGAAAATAATTTAAATATAAACATTAATAAGATGAACAATAAAATGTCCCGTGACTATCGAAAACAATAAGAATGACACTTTATAAAATAAACATTACAATAAACTATTCAAACGTGAAAATATTTCGTGTTGATTATTTATGTATTTTGCGTCAAGAAACCGAATAATTACGTTGTCCTAACTTATATTAAACCAATTATTTACCAGAAGTCTTTCATTCTTTTACGTTTCAACGTTTAATTTTAGGTATATTGTTACAATTATTATGTTAAAATTATACAATATTATTTCCCGGCCAAAAATGTCCACCGAATTTATTTCGTAGCCAACATGCCATTTGGCCAAAATGTCTTCTGGATATTAAGTCCTTGAAATATAATGGTAGGATTGTTTTTCTTTTTAAAATTAGCGTTCGACATTCCTAAATAAATAAAATAGCATTTAGTTATCTTTTCCCCTTTCCCTTGCATTTATTGTAATAATCCCGAAACTTTAATTAGTAAACGTACCTGATCGTATAGAACGCCGACGTTGAGGCAATACTTTATTTACATTGTATCAGATTAGTATTTTCGTTATTATTAATAAAATAAATTCAAATCATAAACCTTCTGCTTACATTTGTCTTCGTTTACAACCCATAAACACTAAGAACTACGCATAACACAAGCTTGCAAGATAAATTTATTTTCTTCGATGAAACTTTGTCTTAAGATTTCGTTATTAAATAAATCTTTATAATTTAGCTTAGTCTTGCGAGATATTTACATTTTGCAGTAAAATGATTTGTACTAAATCATGTTAAATATATGTAGACGCGCTGTTATTAAAATTTATACATTTTTTTGTTCAAAATATCTTAATTCACAACTAAATTTCAAATTTATAACTATATATATGGTTCTCACCATAGTGCTTTTTATAGGAAATTCATGTATATTTACCCATTTAACTGGTTTCTTAAATTTATTGCAAAATATTAATGACGCGGAAAACCATCTATCCGCTTTGGATTATGACCAACTAGATTTGTATAATGTTAATGATTTATCGAATAATGAAAATTAGACGTCCTTCACAACGGCAAAAGGAATTAACAATTTAAATCCTTATTCGTATTTTATTCTTTCGCTATTAGGTTTAAAATATATATATATATATATATATATAAAAAAATAGAAACTAAATTTAGCAATTTTTTTATGAGAATCAGTAATCTTTTCAGAAGACGATATAGGGCCTTTGCAATAGAAAGGTGTCTCGGTTTTTGTCTGCGCCAAAATTGGCAATGACGATCAATTCTGGCGGATCTAGTGAAATTGACTTTTCGGACTTTTGGATGCCTTGGCAAGATGAAAGATATATTTCAAAATGACCACTTTTGACATCAGGGATCAATTAATTGGCATTTCCGTCATCCAAGCCGCGAACCTCCTGATAATTCAAAGCCATAAGAAGGAATTGTTGTACAAATAGATTCGTTTTGCTCTTAGTTTACGATAGAAATTGAACAACATTGTAGTGTAGTTAGGTAGTTCTTTCTCTTTGGGCCTATTACACAGCGCCGGCAGAGGCAGTAATAGTGCATTTATTATATTTATTTCATATTATTAATATAATTGATTTTTCTTTAATTATTTCAATAAAAACTTTATTATTTTATTCGCTACTAATAATTTTCTTAATTATTAAAACTTTAAAATAACTTTATTTTAATATATCATTCTAAAAGTCAAAAAATTTTTTTATATTTGATTTGATTTGATTTAATTTGATTTAATTTGATTTGATTCAATCAAATTCAAATTGATTCAAATTGATTTAATCAAATATTTGAGTTCAATTCAATTCAATTCAATTTGAAAAAATCAAATCAAATTCAAATTGCTTAAATATTTGATTTGATTCGATTTTGAGAAACCCTATAATTTGTTCTATATTTTTTTTAATATGCCAATCTTTATTTAAATCTTTATGTTGATTTTTTGAATATAAGTATCAAAAACAAAAATATTTGGTATTTGCTCCATTTTAATTCAAGTAAATAGCTAAAAATTTCCAATCTAAACTAAAGTATAATTCAAATTTCCATAATGCTTTAAGTATTTCTAATTCATATTCTTTAAATAATCATTAAAATAGATTTAACGTAAATTTAATTGTATCATAATTTTAATTTTTAAATATAATACTACTGTATAATAATATTTTTTACATAATAATGTCAATTTTCATAATTTAAAATCATAAAAGTTACTATAATATGGGAAACAGTCAGTAGAAAAGGGGGAAATACAAAATTTTTGTTAATTTTAATTATTAAGCTAATTTTATGCACATAACCGAGATCAGCCAAGTGATCTAATAATATAAATTTTGACCAAAATTTGGATTTTCCCCTTTTTTACTGACCGCTTCCCATATATTAGATTTTTCTTCATTTCATTTATTATCAAAAATGCATAATAAATAACAGGATTTAATATTTTTTGCTTTTGTAATTATGGAATAAAATTATACAAAATATCTTTTGTATTATGATAAACAACTAGTAATACCTGATGAAATTACCTTTCTTAATATGATAATATTGACGAAACTGAAATGACGAAACTAGTTTTTCTTAATAATAAAATTATTTTATTTAATTGCTGAAATTATATTTAACTTGATCTAAATTCCTTGAATTAAAATACATTAAAAAATATAATAATTTTATATTTATTCATATAAAAATATTAGAGAGACAAAACTTTTGACGAAATTACAATTTTTTAAAAAAGAGTTTAGTCAGGTATCATTACAAACTACTAATTTTATTACATTAATAATTTCTTATATAATGATATAATTCATAAAATTTGATTTTTCAAATTTTATAATTTTTTTCAATTTTTTTTTTTTTCATATTAATTAATGAAATTTTAAATTATTTTATTTATATAATCAGGAATTGCATTAGAGATAAAGTTTTTATATAGTAAATAATATTTTATAACAACTAACTTTTAATAAGAATCTCTTGATATTTATTCTTAATCAATTGTTTTTACTACAAATTAAATTTTATAATTATTTTCTATTTGATCTTCATTTTCAAAATTTATTTGAAAGTCCATTTTATTAATAGAAAATTCCATTATTTTTAATATAACTTCATTAGATTGATAATAATTTTCTTTAATATTAAAACTAAAACAGAATTGTATTTTAGTTGCAAATTTTTTAGTATATTATTCAAGTATTGATAAAATATAATTAATAACTAGTTTGATTAAATTTTCTCTTATTTTTTAATTTATACACTTTTTAATTATAATCCAAATATAATAGAATCTAAAAGTTTAGTTTTAGTTCTTAGTTTTAAAGTTTAAAATATTTTTAATAAAATTATTTCATAAACTAAAAAATATATTAGAGAATGGTAAATTATTATTAAGTCTAAAATTATAAATCATAAGATTAATATAATATAATAATAAAATATTAAATTTACATAATACAATAAATATTTAAATATGGTATAATCAGATGGTAAAAAAAGCAAAAAAAGAAAAGACTAAGTAAAAATATAAGATGACATAGATGATATATGTAAGAAAAAATATGTAGAAGATAATATATAATTATGTATAACTATATAGTTAATTATCCTTTGCTTTACTTTGAATAACTAATAGTTTGAAAATTACTTACTTTTTTATAAATCAATGTTACATTAAATGGGATTTAGTTAAAAAAACAATATATTGAAGTTTGAACTGTATTTAATACAAAAATAAGATATTTCATTAATATAGTTAATTTTATAATAATTAGTTTATTTACTAGCAGTTTGTTTCTAAGTTATTTCTACAATATAATCATATGAATATTGTTAAATTTGCATTTTTTTAATATTATTAATATTTGGAAGTCTCAGTTCTTTTTTTAACTTATTATTTGATCTGATAATAATTTTATCAGAAAAATTACCTTTTTTTATAATAACATAACTTAAATTATATTTCATTTCTGATTTATATGTTCTTAATACAAATATTATTATTTAAAGGGTATGTAGAATATTATTCAATTTGTACATTACATTTTATATTTTCTGTATCACTATCTATACTTGTTTATGTTAAATTATTTTATTTAAACTGAAAATTCTGTATCATATTATTTACTCAAAAATGGAAATAATAATAATATAAATCACATTTATTTTTTTATTGGTCAATTTCATATGATTTTATTAGTTATTTATCCCTGAATTTTCTACTCCATTCTGCAGATTGGCTGATATGATACTAATTAATTATTTTTTTTTCAAAAAATTAATTAATTTAATTTATCCAAATTTAGTAAATTAAGCTGTAAGTATATGAAGTACTTTATAAATATTTAATGCGAAGTAGAAGTATTCTGAAGATTTACTAAGTTGTAATTTAATATCTTAAAAGTACTGCAGTCAAAGTACTCTAAAGGTTACTGAACTGTAATATTCTATGAAGAATTTCAACCTTAATATAACAGAACTATAACCTTTAATGTATTTCAATAATGAAAGTTCATGGCATAATACTTCATAAATATATGGAAAAGTATTATCTGCGAAATATTTCACCTCAAATACTTTCCTAATATCTATGAAAACAAGAAGTTTGAAAATACAAAATCAAACTTTTTATTAATTGTAGAATTTCCCAAGTGTTTATTAAGACTTATTATTACAAAACTTTGAAAATCTCTTAACTACTAAGTTAGACTATATTTAACAATGGTTTCAAACATGTAAAAGTAAGGAGTTTGTGATAAAAATAAAAATAAAAAATAAATTCGTTTTGCAAGAAATTTTCAGAATGAAATAATCCAGATTTAGTATTTTTAGTAATTCCCTGCAGTTTCCTATTTGATGTTCTATTATATAACATATTGTTCGTTAAATATGATTGTGAAATGCACCAAGCGTAAAGATAAAAAATTTAGCACATGAAATTCGACGCCATCATTTTTTTGAGAAAAAATTGGTGATTGAATTGTATAATTTAATATTATCAACGCATTATAAATTAAATTATTTAAAAAAATACCATATTTTTTATGAACTCATAACCAAGCGAAACGATCTGATCCCTTCTAAATTATTATAATTGTTCAATAAATTTTCGCTAGTGTAATGTTAAATTTTTATTCATACTTTCAAAGTCATAAATTCTTAGAAATACATTAAATAAATAATTGAGTATAAACTTATTTAATTATTATGAAGCCAAATAATACTTGCAAATTAGATATTTCCATTAGTAGTATTAAACTTATAAATTAATTCAGGAAAATACAAAGGTTTGTTTGTATAAAAAGCTTGGCTATGAATTTCTTGACGATATTTATTTTTTTCCAAGTTTGAAAATTTTTTCTCTTCAGCAAGATCAAATTGATCAGATAATTCTGATGGAATAGGATCGTCGCAAATAGCAGATACCCAACTTCCAATCAATTCATATAATTGAGATGCAACTGGACGTTTTGAAGGATCGGAGTTCCAGCATTGAGTCATTGTTTGAATATAAACTTCTGGAGTTCCATCAATACTTTCAGGTCGAAGGCCAGAGCAGATTTCAGTAGCTAGTTGAATATCGTGTGATCTATTATACCATGGTCGAATGCCTCCTGAAAGTGTCCACATGATAATTCCAAAGCTGTAAATATCTGAAGCTTTTGTTGGTAGATTTCCCTTTAATATTTCAGGATCTATATAAGGAAGAACTCCATATATTTCATTTGAATTTTTATTATTAGCTGGACCATGTAATTCTACATCAGCAACACGTACATCAACAGAATTTTGTTCACTTTCAACTATTAGGTTACCCCCATGAAGGTTTCCGTGAATAAATTCATTTTCATGAATATATTCGATTCTTCCAGATATTTCCCAAAGCAAAACAACTATATTCTTCCAACAAAGTATTCCTTGTACTTTATCAAGGTATGAATATAAGTCCTCATCGTCATAATATCTCATAATTAACAAGTAGTTTGAAGTGGGATCTTTTGTTATTCCGAAAAAATTTGCAAAACTTCCACACTGTAAACACTTTTGATAATTATAAAACTTATAAAATTGGAAAAAATTTGTATATAAGTGGAAATTAGAAACATAATTAAAATTGTAATTTTATTAAATTATTGACTTTACGTGATTTAGATATTCTCCACTCATATTTTGTAGCCTTTTAAGAGTAACATTTATCGGTCCATTTCTTGTATATTCCTCGGCCTCTTCATCCCAAATCCAACGAGGACCTTCCATCCAAATTGCTGAATAAATTGTACTGAAGGCTCCACCTTTATTCATATATTTTATAAGGACAAGCTGATCAAATTTAATATATTCCAAATAATCGACACTTCCAGATGCATTTAATTGAGTACGCTTAATATAATTATCAATTTCAAGATTTCCACTTGTCCAATTTTTAAAATTCTCTTTAAAGGAATTAATTTCACAATCTTTACACCATCCTACACTAATTTGTTCTTCACCGCATTCAGCACATTTTCCAAAAATAAGGCTTGATACCCTTTTGGATGCATTTTCATTTTCCGAATCAAAAGACATAACAACCCTTGCAAAGATTTTAAAATCATTAAATTAATTAGATTCTAAAAATCAAAAAAGTTTTTTAAGCGAAATTATTTACAAATTTGGAAATATATAAGTAGATCAAATTGAATACAGTATGAAAATAAACTCGTTCATCGGGACTTAAATCAAATCAGTGTTTGCTAATATGTCCAATTTGAATGACATAATTTCTAGCGTTATTAGAGGTTTATATTATTAACACAATTTACCTCACATATAACTATGATACAGGTAACCAAAAAATATTTTTTTAGAACAAGTATATCACAATTGCAAAATATATGGCACGATAGATGAAATAAAAAATATTTTTTTGTGCGAAATTATTAGACAGATTATTGAATTAAACTTACGATCGGGAAAGATTAATTAATATCTTCTTTTATTCTTTTCAATTGTTAAATAATTGAGGATTAAATGCATTGATTTTAATTTCGGCCGGTCTGATAATGATCGTAGCTTCCAAATGTCTTTTTTTTTTTTGTTAAAAACCTTTCTATTTATACAACTGTATATGTAAATAATTAAGCATGAAATATTATATACAAAGTCATACTTTATAATAAATGGTCTCTACATACAAATTGATATCCATGAATGTTGAAATTTTTGATGTTGTTTATTGTACAAACAGACAAAGAAATTATAAATATATATTTTCAGCTGTTACCTGTTTTATCGAATTAATGAACCTAAATTTATTTATTTAAAAAAAAAGATAATGGAATCGTGTAGGTAACGAAACCGTTTGACACGTGCGAAGCTTTGTACGATGCAATTAATTATTGATTGGTTTAATATTATTTAGTTATTGTTACACATGATATTAAAATTGATTGGTTCTTGCAGATATTGCATAGTCCTACATCACTAACTTTTCAAGCAGTCCAGTGACTGTTTTTAGTCAAAATCATAAGGTATCCGTTAAAATTTTAACTTAAAATTAATGTAGATGTCCATAATATATGTTCATTGACTGTTAATTTATATGTTATTCATTGAACAGTATATTTATCACGTATAAAGTCAGTTGTTAGACAAAACCGATTTATAAAATATTAAATATTATGTAAATTTTATGGAACAGTCCAAAATCCATTTTATAAGATTAAATTTACTTATATTTTTTTCTTATTTATTTGTATAATTATTAAAAAATTTAAAATGAGCGAAAAAAAAAAAATAATAAATTTATATTTATTTTTATATATATATGATATCATATTACGTAACCAATTTCGGTCGGTCAAAGGTTTCTGACCGACCGGTTGACCGACCGCTTTTGACCGATTTTGACCGACCGGTTGACCAACATTTTTTAATTAGTAATCCAAGAATTTTTTGATTTAATTAACAATAATTTTAGTGATGTTATTTTTTATAAATAAAAAATTTTAATTTATTCTTAAAAAAAAGATCGTGATAAGCTGCATCACTAAAAATATGAAAGTATACTTAATATGCATATCAAGTTTGCCTAAAAGAATAAGTTTTAGCAAATGCCATGTTAGTATTATTTAAAGCATAAATTAAAATTATCAATCAAGAACTTTAAATTATATTATTGTTAAATGCGGTCAGCAAAACCGGTCGGTCAACCGGTCGGTCGGTCAAAGGCCTTTGACCGACCGTTGACCGACCGTGAACCGACCATGACCGACCGTTACCATCCCTAGTTAGCAGTATTGATCAATTTACTATGATCGGAATTTTTTAGTTAATAAAGTTAATTAAAATAGTATATGAAATACTGGTAATATATAACTTTACTATAATTTATTATAAATCTTTAAATCGATTCTACACTTGCATTATCTCTCCTCTCTCGCTCACTTTGATTAGCCTGACCTATAAGAATATTTCTACGGTGGTAAATTTAAGATTATTTATTAACCTTGGCATTAATGTAATAGAAAATTATAAAATAACGTGAAAATGACTAATTTTGTATATTAAAAAATCAGAATTTTATTCATTATCTAAATTTTCGACCGTAACTTTGATTTCCAAGTATTTGAGCGTATGTATATGAATTTTGAAAGAAATCCAAGTAAATCTCATCGTGCTGAAAAAATTTTAAGACTTAGCATTAAATTGACTTATATACAGTATAGTTATAGATAAAATGCCAAGATTATCAAAAGACCGATACAATCTCAAAAGGCATCAGAGGCACTTAAACGACAAAATGATCTACGAAAAAACAAATTCATGAAACTTGCGAATCTTTTGAGCTAATGAAATGACGAACTTTAGAAATTGCACACTAAATTATTTCTTTAAAGTTAACAAACAATAGACCTTTAGAAATTGCGCTCAAAGTCATTACTGATTCATCAAAAAATGAAGTATCTCAAAGACCAAAACGTTATGACTTGTTAGTAAAATCACTTGAAAAATTAAATGAAAAACAGCTAATCATCTTTTTCAAACTGAGATATCCTAAAGGACAAAATCAAGTCCAAATAATTTCTACTTTTTACAAAAAAAAGCAATGGATTTTATTGATAATTCTCTTTACAAAACAGGACAAAGTTCAAGCTCATTGATTCAACATAATAAAATTTTAAAAAAGCAAGTAACTTAGCTCGAAAAATCAAATGTCAAAAAACTTTGTAAAGGTTCGTCAATTAGCAGGAACTATTTCACAGTACAAGCACAAGAATGATCAATATATAAAATCTTGTGCTACAGCTCATAAGAAGCCGTTATTGATTAATTCATAAACTCTTAAAGAAGCCATCAAAGCAATGATTATGAAAAATAAGTCTTAATACACAACTGAGTTTATCAATGCAACAACACAGGTTTCTCAAATAGGTTAAATGTCTTTTCGAAGTACTGTTCAAGCCACACAAATAATTTTAGGATTTTTAACTGGAGAAAGTTTACCATTATCAATTTTACGACAAACTATTATTCATTGGAATAAGGAGATTAGTGAGATGTAAATGAAATCTTCAATCAAAGTAATAACTCTAAATTCTATGCTTTTGGTATAATGGCAGATGAATCAACAAAAAATTTTAGTTCTTTGTATAATATTTTGAAATTGCAAGACAAATACTCCTAATTTTCGGTTACATGAAATGAAGGATTTAGATCAGCACATTTGAACATTTTAGTAAATTCCGACTTTTATATCTGATTATACAAATTATATGAGTGTTAAATTGGAGGAGCAGTTGTATTATTTAATAAATTGTGTGGAGCTAAATCTTATCGGATTCCTTGTAGCCTTCATGTAATGCATATTATTATGAATAATTTTGAAGAAGTGTGTTTTGGGAAATTACCTAGCATAAGTGGATTTTCACAAAATAAACTTCCTGCAAATCTTCTATATTTAACTTGGCTTGGGAACTCAATGACTATAACAAAAACAATAAAGAAACTCCAATGGGAATTAATTCTTATCATATTCGTAGGCTTTATCAAGAATGAATTCAATATCAATTACCTAAATACCAACAACCTATTCCGAAAAATAAGATTGAATTAGGGATTAAAAATATTAATAAGGATTCAAATCCGGATTTTGAATAAGAATGAATCCTTATTGCAATTATGATCACAATCAGGTTATATTTTTATCATAATTAAAGGCGTAAACAAGGCTTTATAGAATGCTTTAAGTTTGTTTATTGTTTATTTAATCAGCTCTGTTCTTAATTTTATAATATTTAATGTGTATAACTATTATGAATATATAATAAATAATATTACACCAATATTTCATGAACATTATGAGCATATAATAATATATTATATCTTTATTCACACCAGAACAATCAGCAAAGTGCACTTATGTAATTTTCGGATACATGTATAAAACTTTATATAGTGTAGATTTAAAAAATAAATATATAAGGATGTCTAACTATTATAATATACACGATTGTTACAAAATTTGAAAGTTTATTTGTTCAGTATTACCGATACTTTTATATAATTATTATACTGAACAATCCCTTCCCAAGCCACAGGGGACACGGGTGAAAACATTCTGTTTTGTCAAATGAAATTTTAAAGTAATAATCACGCGAAAGTTCGACTCTATTAAATATATATCTCTAAACGCTTTTTTAATATAACTTGTTACGGTTCCATATTTCAGTTTCCTCATTATTCCAACAAAATTGGAGAAAATTTGTGCTGAAAATGCATATTTGTTAATTTCAACGAAAACAAATTGGTCGAACCAAATTCTTTTCGGCCTTTAAGCTAGTATGTCTAGTCTAATAATTATCTATTATCGAATCTCCGCCAAGTCCAATTGCGTAATTGTTCTTTCAACCATGCAGTATCGCAAAAGGCTACTGATTTCGTTTGTATCCCTCATTCCAACATTGGTAGTGAATTATAATGGTTTATTGGTGAGAGACGGGTATAGGTATTTTAAGTTTATTTATAAAGTTTTTTTAAAAAAAAATGATCCCGCTTATCACGTGGGAGGACGTCTTTTTTTTTTTGCCTACTGCGAAAATAAATTATTTATACCCATCAAGCTTTAAAAATTCTATACTCCGATAAAGAGATAGTTAAATTTAAGATTACTTTTTTTTAAAAAAATATTGGCGCTTTGCAGTTAAAAGAGAGGAAACTACAAAAAATTAAACGTTTACTTTACTTTATATGCTAATATGTTTTTTTTTTTATAAAATAAGTCTAGATTTAACATCACTCAAAAAAAATATTTTTTTTAGAGTTTCCTCCTTCCTACTGCAAAGAGTCCATATAATAATGATTGAAATAATAACACCATTTATTTGAAGATATAATTTGTGCTACAATAATTCTTTCGTAAATTAAATTAATTAATTGTGCAACAATTTGTTCTCTTCAACATAATGAAAAATGATTTATAATTTGCTAAAATAAATTCACTCCATGGAATTTTATAAGATCCAATGCTTAAAAAAATTAATGCTTACTGAGTTACAAATTGAAAACTCTTCCCCATCTAAGATGATAAACAATATATAAGTTATAGGATCGGAAATGTGTTGTTATAAAAAACGCATATGGCTTCGTATGAAATGGTCAAACAAAAAGAACTAACTTTGAAATTACTTGGAATAATCCATGGAATAAAATAAAATTCATCAAGGATTAATCGTATCTATATAATGACAGTTTTTTCAAATCCGCTCTTTTATTTACCGAAAACACGTGAACAAAACATTATGATCTCGGCTAAATATTTATTATTCACAATACAATAACTAATTTTCTGTGTGATGTAACAATAATGGACAAATGTTTCAAAATAATAAATAAAGGATGATAGGCGTGGTATTAGGGTTAATGTAAGTTAAGGTTGGTTAAGCATAGAAATCACATGACCCGAGCTTTTTTTGATGAGTTCTTCAGAATACCAGTATACCAGCCGTTGGTCGACTCTACAAATAAAAGTCAAATAAAGTTTTCGAATGATAACTTTTGTCGAAGTGCAAATGCTTTTAGCGAACAATTTTTTTTTATTGTTTCTATATATGGATGATGATGGAATGAATATTCGTGGATTATGTAATTCTTTGACATCATTTCATTATTCCACAATATATAATAAAGTTTTCGTTGCAATATTTTCACATTATGTGGGAATTTCTTGTTTGTTACAACAGAGATTGTCATTTATTTTTGGCGTAAGTCATTTTTGGTGCAAGTTGACAATTAGAAGAAGTAAAAATTATTTTTTGATTTGTATAAATGAAATTTGTTATAAATTTTACATATTATTTTACCAAAACATTTCAACCAATTTTCTAAAAATTAACGCTTACTGATTCAGTTATACAGTAGTTATGCAAGTAATTAATTTTTATTGGAGGAGAACATTATAGTTGGGTTCGACATAATTTCGTAATTTATGGTCATTTCCATATTAGTATCCTGGACCAAAAATACCCACCCTATATTTATTTATATTCATGGGTGGGAAATTTACATCATATCAATGAACAATATAACTTTTTTATTTTTTTCTATTTTTTCTTCATTTATTTTATTTCTAATTGGTTTTAAATAGATTGATGCAATCATAAATTAACTGATAAAAGTAAAGTTTGGAATTATTTATAATTTTAATACCAAAGGAAATTTATATAAAAAACACAGGATAAAACTTTGATTATCGAATATATTTCTAATTTGACTAAACAACAAGATAAAAAAAATGTCTCAATTAGTTCTCGTCGCCTCAGCAATGTCTTCTATGCTTAAAAACATATGATGAATGCGTAGCTAATGGATATGAGGTTTTACCTGAACAAATTTTGGATATAAATACCGTTCATTCCTTATTGCTGTTTAGACACGAAACCGGGGAAAGAAACACTGAATTCCGTGAACCTAGTGAAAGACCTATACAAATTTTTGTAAAAACACTTTCAGGAGAAAGTCGGGCAATGTTCGTCTCCCCATATAGAACTGTCCTTAGATTTAAACATGATATTCAAGAAATGCTCGGATATAACATTACGCAGATGCGTCTCGAATTGGCTGGTAGACCATTAGAAGATCATCGAACTCTAGCATTTACAATATCCAACAAGGCGATAATGTATATATTCTTTTTCGATTATTAGGAGGTTTTGATTTTTATGTTATCAAAGAAGATTTTCTAGATCGTAAATATGATTATGACTTCACGAATATGAAAGATGAAGGTATAACTTTCATTCGCGGTAACATACTATACGACAGACCTTATGGATGGAAAAGAATAGCACTCAATGTTTCGGGAAAGTATGGTTCTGATGATAAATGGTTAGGTTGTGTTGGAAATAGTTCTGATGAATGGCCAGTCTCTTACCATGGTACTAATAAAGACTTTGCTGATTCTATTGCCGATAAGGGTTACTTGCTTAGTAAAGGAAAAAGATTTGCATATGGGAAAGGAATTTATTCATCTCCTAAAATTGAAGTAGCTGAAGATCCATATGCGGTTGAATTTGATCATTCTGGTGCCAAATATAAAATTGTTTTTCAGAATAGAGTTAACCCTGCGGGGCTAGTCAAGCACAATCATGTTATATGGGTTACACCAGATGAAAAGAATATTAGACCATATGGGTTATGCATAAAAAAACTTCAATAGGCATTGTATGAATGATCAAAAGGTATATAAGTAGCAAAAGAAATTACACCTTTACCTATCCTTATAATTAATATCACTATAATCCTTATTTACGAAATTCGATCTTTCAATATTTATTTCGCCTTATTTCAAATGTATAGCCATAAATTTATATACGAAATAAATTGTTATTGCATAATATAAAAAATATTAACGTGGCAAATTAAATTCAATTAGTGAAGTCTAACAACATTTGCTGTCTATTTCGGTCTTACAGGATCGATTCCACCTCAAAAAATAGTTGCACGCTTATCCAACATTTACATTACATCGAAGGATATTGAAGTTTTTCAGCGTAAAAGAAGAGAGAATTTAAAGTGAAGGAAAAGCAAGTTTATCAGAAAATTTAATGATAGATTCATGAAATTGTAAGGTTCTGATTAAATAAATCTTTGAAATATATTCCGCGTATTTTCGCCGCTTAAATATTAACATTAAATTAACGTAAATGTATCAAAATAAATTATTGGTAGCAAATCATGTCATCAGAATTTATTGGTATCGTATCGATCACTTAAAAATAATCGATTTTTATGAAAAATTGGATAGATTTTTTTTGTTGGTTAAAATTAATATGTAAATGTAAAGTATAACTATTGTTATTTAAATTCATTTTATTATACATCTTTAAATTCTAAAGTTTAATAAACATGTCATGATTTATAAGCCTCTAAACGGAATAACAATTTTCAGTCATAAACAGTTTCCCGTGTTTTATGTTTTTTTTCCGTAAATGTTTTCATATTCGCAGAATTTTTTCACCACAGAAATTTAGAAAAATGGAAAAAAATTCAGTTAAAAAATTTTATAGGAATAGAAAGTTTTGCTAATGAGCAACACGTTCATGCTAAAAATCATTTTATTAAAGTATTTTTTGAATTCTTTAGGTTCAAATATGCAAGCACGTATAATTGCTACCCATTTATCAATAAAACAAGAACGATTTAATAGAAATCATGAGCATAGTGGAATGGAATGGGTGACGCCTCGACAATTTTACTAAAAGTTGTGAAATTACGAATTTTTTGTTACATAATAATGAGCATGTGGCAAAATTTTTTTATAATCACATAATATGACTTTTTTATAGACGCAATCGTATTTTTAGGGAGTTTTTCAAATGAATGAGTCATGACTGATTCGTGACTGATTTAAATTGATACTTTGGAGACATTGCGGAATTCTCAATTAAAATAAAGTTTCTAATTTTGATTTACAACTACTAATCCACCAAAATTTCGAACATATTTAATTATCTCCTCTCCATTAATCTTTCGTCTGAAAGAAAATTGGGAGAAGCATATACAGTTTCATTTATTCCTACAAATTGCATGTGCATTCGTCATGAACTAATTATACTAAAATAAATTCACATTTTAAATTAAAGATACAGTTATAATACAGAATCTCAAAATGTTATAAAGCATGCTTTCGATTTTGTGTCTGAACTATGAAAAATTTTCAGAATTAAACCCAATAATGTAATAGGATTATCGGATACAATAAAGTATATACCTTTGGTCATTATTATGAAATAGAAAAGATTTGTTAATTAAAAATAAAAACAATTGAGGTAGATTATTTTATGCGAAAATTCGAAACTTAAAAAACTTCTCTTGCTCTTTTTTTTTTTACATAAATAATAAAAAAAAAATTCCACGTGAAAAATTGTAAATTTATGAAGGTCGTACGATCACATACATGTAGTACCAGCCGGCTGAGTCGATTCTGCAAAAATCAAGTAGAGTCGACTTCGGACTGAGCCATGACTGAGTCGCTGTTCCAAATTTGATATAAGGTCAGAATATTGTGAAATTTTTAATTAAATAAAACTTCAAATTTTTAGTCAAATTGGATTCTTATAATTATCTACTTTTTGCAACATTAATTAAATTGTAAAAATTTTAGTTAAATATTAAGATATTAATAATACAATTAAGATCGCCAATTTCAAATGTGAGTCTCTACTCAGTCGACGGCTGAGTCGACTGAAAAGTGTCTAACGGCTGATTGAGTCGACTCCAGAATTTGTCACGACTGATACTACTACATACATGCAATGAATTAATTTAATTGTTATAATGGTGTTTCGAATCCTAACGGAAAAATTCGTGATATTAACAAAAATTTTAAATTTAAATTCGATTCAGAATCTAGACCTTTATCATACACCACCAATGCTTGAAATGCGGGATAAAATGAAATTAGCAGCAAGGTGTAAAAATGGCGATCCCGTAAGATTTAGAGAAAATTTCCGCGGAAATTCGACAGTAGATGAATTTCTTAGATAACGCCGATCTATTTATCCGACCACCGTGAAAGATAACAAACAGGTTCTTCAGCACAATTTAATCCGCAATCTGGATGGAAGTTCCAAAATAGAAATTGGATGAAAAGGTTGAAATATGGAACCGTAACGGACCAATTAAGTTATATTAGATTCCCAAAATTTGAGTTAGGAATTTGTAAGCCAAGTATGTACGATATAGGTAATCATGCTCAGGTCAAATGGATCGTTTGCTATTAAAATTAAAATTATGAAACATTAATTCAAACATAATTTTTTTTCCATATGAATTATTATCTTTCATTTTGGTTTTACGACCCATATTATGACCCACAATATTGATTTTCTATTTATTTTAAATTTTCACTAAAAAGTTGAATAGATATCACTGATGTTTACAAAATGACGCTTTAGCTGATTATTTTGACTAAGGGACCAACATGAGATATTATGAACAGGAGGACGACAATGAAGATTATATACAATTTACCAGGGAGAGATATATGTAGTATAGTAGATATTAGATATGTTATATTCCGTCTGATCGTCATGTTTTTTCATGTAACCGGTGTCGTTCATGGACATATATATACACAGAGCAAATATGTTGGTTGAGATTCAATTTATACAATTGAATTTGCTAAACCATCGAACAAATTTATGAAGTAATACCTTTCGTTGTTCCAGCTTTTTAATGGACGTACTCTAACAAAAGAACCAGTTTTAGAATGGTCATGTGAATGTTATCAGTCGGTGCATCTTTATTAGTATAGACCCTTCATTTATAACTTGTTCAAAAAATCTGATCTGATAAAGAAATTAATTTGAATATATCTAATTTAAACACTCGTATTATACGATAAAATAGAGATTTTTTGTCTGTAACGATAGTTAAATTCGCGTGATTAGAAGAATCCTAAAAAATCATTCGATTTTCGATTCTAACCCTAGTCATGAGAATTGAATTTTTTATTGATTTAAACCATATAAAAGTTTGATCGACAATGCACAGCAATTACGGGACATAACATATAAAAGAAATTTGTTAATTATATATTGCGCCACAAGTTTACAATCAGTGTCACCAAAGGTTTTTTTTGTCAAAAACGTTATGCATGACGACATTCTAACTGCTTTAAGCCAAAGTTGCTAATATTCGATCCGATAGACCCAAAATATTATCTCGCGATTCAGTGATCCAACTTTATTGAATATTTTTTTTTGTTGGTAGCTCTTAACATCCTCTTTTGAATAAAAAAAAAAAAGGAACGTTCAAACCTCTAGATCACAGATAATCAAAAAACCCCCCGATTTTAAACTACTGTTACCCAAATTAGGGTCGGATCGATCCGTGCGGAACCCTAAATGTCAGTACCCGATGTGTAGTTTTTTTGCAATTTTTCCCATACAGAATCGTTGCAAAACTATTTAAAGATTTGAAATGTGGAAATCTTAATTTTAAATAAATTAATTAATTTTGTTCAAAGAATTTAAAAATAAACCATTGACTTTCAAATCTCTTCTTGAAGATATTTGGGAACTCTAATTCTAAAATATTTATACGTCTTCTGACTAAGTATCTTCACATAAGATAAAACTAGAATAAGGTTTGGATTGAGACCAAGCACCTGATAGAAAAGTTGACAATTTTACCTTGTCTTATATTGTTAATAACTGGTTTGAAATTGAAAATCTGAATTCCAAATTCCAATTTCAAAAAAAAAAATTTTATCCAATCATTGATGCTGTACCCAAAATGGATGATATGTCACAAACAACTAATATATTACACAGGATTTAAAACAAAATGCTGTCCTATTTATCTTTATTAATAGATAGATAAGCATTATTAAGCTACAGATATACCGTATGACTGCTGTCTCAAATACATAAAAGGTAATATTAGTCTCAATCAAACAATCTAAAAGAAATTTTATTTGATTTCTCACTTGATAGGGTTAATTAACTTTTCTATGTGCAGAATGTCGATCCGCGTAAAAGATTTTCCCCGCGTTATTTACCTTATCTATAATTCGTCTTATTAATAAATTTTTCTTTCAAATCAGTAATATATGGTTATTTATGAAATGTATGTATGAATCGATTTTTTTTATTTGAATTTATGTTTAATGTTAAAAATCTTAATTGGAGCTTTTGATTAATGATAAACAAAACCGTAAACTTAATTTTTGAGTGAGTTAATTCTGTTCGAATAACGTAATTAAAAAACCGAGTGATAAAATTGTATATAAACGGTGGTCTTTTTTTTTTTTTTAAAAAAAAAATAATAACGAGAGTTCATATAAAAAAGGCTGAAAAGATATAGGGATTTAACGAAAAATCTTGAATAAATGTCTTTTCATGAATCGAAAAATTCATTATCAGAAACCGACTTTTCCAAATTTGCAAATTTGGCCTCCTCTGCGGCATCAAATTGATCAGCTAATTCAGACGTGTTTGGATCATCACATATGGTGGAAACCCAATCTCCAAAATCTTCGTAAAGTTGATACGCAGTTGGCATATTTGATGGATTGGCAACTAAACATTCGAGCATTAATTTAGAATAAACAGGTGGAGTTCCCTCTACAACACTTGGTCTTAATCCAGAATAGATGTCTTGAACAAGTTGATAATTATGGGCTCTATCATAATAAGGGCGTGCACCGGCTGTTAACATCCACATGATCATGCCAAAACTATAAATATCAGATTCTTTTTTTGGCGTATTTCCATTAAATATCTCCGGAACAATGAAAGGTATTACTCCATAAATGTTTTGTGATGGTTTGTCAACAGGACCGTGTAAACCACTATCTTTGATTCTAGAATCTGTTGAATCTGCTGTTTCATTTTCAACTAATATATTTCCTCTGCGTATATGACCATGAACAAGACCAGCTTCATCAATAACATTAAGAATAGCTGCTATGAACCAATGGAAAGAGTTGTAAATGATGAATCTCCAAACGAACATTCTAAAACTGTAAATCAGTTTCTTTCTTTGGAGAATTTCTATTAAAAAAATTTCTACAGATACGAAAGGTATCACTCCATAAATTTGTTGCGATTTATTAACCGGACAGTGCAAACTACTATCCGCGATTCTAGTATCTATTGAATCTGCTTCGTTTTCAACTAGTATATTTCCTTCGTGTGTATGTTCATAAACGAGATCAGCTTCATGAATAACATTAAGGCCAGCTGCTATGGACCATAGCATATCTACTATATCTCTCCAGCAAAGAAGCCCAGCAGATTTTTCAAGATATTCATATAAATTCCCCTGTTCATAATATCTCATTACGAACATGTAACATGATGTTGGATCCTTGGTTATTCCAAAACAATCAGCCAAGGCGCCATTCTGTAAACATCGGTGATATCTATATAACTTTTTTTAGTAAAATATAAATAAAAAAAAAGGGGGTATGAATATTATGGACACGAGGATGATGTATGTATGATAAATATTACAATAGTGCGTTATTAAGTTATTAAACATCAAAAATTTTCACCCCACGTGACCTCTATAATTTTGTCCACCACGAAGTTAATTTCGGCCAAGTTCTATAATGTCGGCCAAAAATCACGTGGGGGTTGAAATTATTGTAAATCATATAAATAGCAAACTACTAATATCTTTTAGATCGAATAATACTAACTTGGTTTAAAAATTCTTGACTCATATTTTGTGAATTGTCAAACCGCTTTAGAATAACTTTAATTGGTCCATTGCGATTCCATACTTCAGCCTCTTCATCCAATTTCCATTTTGGACCTTCCATCCAAATTGCGGAATAAATTGTGCTGAAAGCGCCTCGTTTGTGAAAATTTTCAACGAATTCGAATTGTTCGAAATCAATCCATTCTAAGTAGTCCAAATTTTCTTCGGCTTTTAGTTGAGTATGTCTAATAAATTTGTCTATTATCGAATTTCCGCTTGTCCAATTACGAAAATCTTCTTTTAACCTTGCAAGATCGCAATATTTACACCATGCTGCGGATTTCGTTTGTATTCCGCATTCCAAGCATTTAGTGGTATATGACAAAGGTGTGTTGGTTGAAGAGAACCCGACATGCGGGTCTTGAAAAGACTCTGAATCCAGTTTATATTATATATAATTTTCCTTGTTATTTTTTTTTTTTTGTTTTTTTATTTTTTTTTTATTTTTTTTTTATTTTTTATTTTAGAATGGCTCATGTTTATATATATATCAATACTATATATAATCCTCACGTATTCAGATTAATATTGTTGTTCAATAAAGTTATTTATACTTTATATATTCATATTGTAATGTTATTTATTATTGTATAAAGTATCCATTACATAATTACATGTGGCAAAACGTGTCATAACCTGACACAATTAAGTATGCACCAAAATATATCATTTGGTTTTTAATGATATCATATGAAGAAAGGAAAAATTTCTATAAAAAATCGAGTTTCATACTTGTTTCATGGTGTAAAAAGACAAAAAGCAAATGAATGTATATGAAAAATGTCTATATAAAACGATAAAATTTACATGTGGCTTTATATTATTATAAATAAATAAATAAGTCAATTTTTATAAAAATTGATTATTGGGTAAGAATATGATTAAAATTAAAATTTTAGTATTTATAGAAAGATTCATTTAATAATAGGCTTTTTGATTACCTGTCTTAAATAGTTAAAGAATAAAATTCAAGTTTCGCCCAAAAATCTGTAGCTTCATCCGAAGCTTCAAAGTCATGTCAATTAAATTATTGAAAACTTTCGGCTCAAACCTATATAAACTATTAAATTTTTCTCGACTAATAAAGGTTGACTTGAAAGAATCAGAATCGTGAATTGTCACTTTTGCGATTTCGTGAAATAAATGAATTTTCTTCTTGTAATCAGTATCTGAAAGAAAGGTTCTTAAACAATATTTTGATATCTATTTCAATTTCTTAAATTTCTATTTTCGTGTATGAAAATATCAATCAATAAAGGATGAACCAAAAATAGCTTCTCCTTGCATAATAAATTTTATTGTTGGATGACAAAAATATCCTGAAAACTATACGTTCCTTTATGTGATTTTTGATCGCTAAGTACTGTTATCCTTCTAAGGAGATGTATATCTGTTCCGTAAAAGTCAATATACAGTAAATTATTAATTTAATTAAAATACATGAACGGATATTTCTTATATAATAACAAATTAGGATATTATTTTCGCGAGTGATTTACGGCTATTAAATCACCCAAAATGAACAGGAGAACTAATTTAAATAGATTGAAGGGTTATGTATATCAAGGAACCTTCAAATAACATACATATAGTTTTATATTAGATCAATATTTGTATTCAAAAATCAAATATAAATTATTGATTCTAATCTAATTGGCTAAAAGTTACATCACGTGATAGATAAGTTTGTTTTAACCAAATAGGCATGTAAATAATGCATTGCATCTGGCCTGCATTACTAAATTTTGACTAATTCCGGCTAAAGTTATCTGTTTCAAATTCTTTTCACTTATGGAAATACCCGATTTTAGAAGATTAATCACTTTTAATTTAAACATTCAATTAGAATAATCTCAACGTGGTTTTGTAGATTTAGTTAGTATCTATTAAACTACGTTAATTTATCTGCAATCATTATTTTTAAAGTGATAAATTTTATTTGATGATTATTTTGTTTTAAACCGTAATACAGATCAATACGAATAAACAAATGCATAAATCCCATAGCGATAACGATAATGAAAAAAAAATTTATAATTTTATTTTCTAAATAAAATTTCAATTTCTTTAATTATAATTATTCATTATTTATTATAAATTTATTTTTAATTGACATTCTTTAATGAAAATAAGCGTTATATCTTTTGTCATTTCAAATAACCAATTAATGTA